GAGACTTCCTTGATGAGGCGACTGATCTAAAATGAACAATACACATGCTTGTCAACTGCTATCCACTCCAACACGCAACTGCTGGCAAAACCACGGCACATCCAGACAAGGGGAGTTGTCTGAAAGAGTTTAACATCACATGCATATCCCACATAAAAGTATGTTGTCGCGCCAGACGTCAAACCTCTACTTACCATCATCACGACGCATGTGACGCGCAACGTGAGAGTGAGGAGTAGGAGGTGGATGCCGTCCGGAATAAGGAGACTGGTGTGGCATACTGTAGGGGTTGTATTGCGGATTCTGTGGTGTCATATATGACGACGGTTGCAGTCTTGGTTCCTGATCATATAAACCAGAGAGCTATAGTGGCATCAACTGCGAATAGTCGCTTCTACCTTCTGTCGTCGATGCCTGATAAGCCCCAGTTGCCGGTTGCCAAACTCTTGAATATTCGAGACTGAAATATCCGACGTTGTAGTGACCTGGCTGACTCTTTGAGATCAGGTACTGCGCCGGACACTCCGCCAGATACCGATAATCAGACGCAAACTGAAACTGGCCTAGAAGACAAGTAATGAATGAAAACATCACCAAAGTATATTCAGTAAAGGGAAAGTCTATAGGCGTCAATCAAACCGAGAGTATGGTGTGCAGAAGGTACATTAATGGAGCCTCGTCACGACAGTACTCGACCACGCGTCACGTCCAACGACGACACTACCACTTACCGATGGAGTGCGGCGTTATTTGTTGCTGGGGTGGCTGCGACTGAGGCTGCAGTTGTTGGGACACCCTGGGAAGGTGGGTGGGAGGCGTCGGTTGTGAAGGTGGCACTGATATCACGTTAGATATCACTTGCGACTGCATATTCCCAACCCCCTCAATTGAATGTTTTTGCTGCTGCTGTTGTTGTTGCTGCTGCTGCCGGTAATAATGACGGTGGTGTTGGGGAATGAAACGAGGTCTCGCCTTGCCTGCACCACTGCATACGACGCGCAAGAAGATGACGGGCAGATCGAAACCCGCCTTCACGCCTGCAGCAGACGATGTGGCAGACGAATTGACCGGTGTCGGCAGCTGTGCCAATTGGGGATGGCAAGGACTGCGTTGCTAGAAAAAAAACAAGTGAAATAAAGTTACATTCCACAAATAGACGCCATGAGCCCTACGTTACTGATGCGCTGACGATGTTAGCACTCTCCCCTACTGCTTTGAAACACATGACACACCATCAAAGTGGTGTGCAAGTGTTTCCATAACTTGTTGACTTTGCGTCAATTTCTATAACACGTCACATTTAGTGGTCACGCGGTTACATAAGTCGAGCCCTCACTTTGCAAAGCTCACACAGTGCCCTCGCGTCTGTTTAGGTTCTTGTCATAGTCAAGGCAAGGCTTCTTGCCTTCAAGTCCAGACAACCTACAAGTGAGGAGTCCATAATGGAGGCGGCAGTGGTTGCGGGATGGTACGGCGGCGAAGGCTGCGGTGGCGGAGGAGGAGGTGGTGGTGGGTTTAACGGGGCTGGCCGATGGGCTTGACTTTCATGATGATGATGACGTTGATGATGATGATGAAGATGGAGAACACTAATCGACGAGGCAGGAAGAACAAAGGGTGAGCGAAGCGACGCCCGAACTGCTGTGCTGGCTAATGATGCCACCACAGGCGGCGAAGTGGTCACCATCGGCGACTGGGCCGAGGTGCTGCAGCGAGAGGCGGACAGCATCCCAAAACTCGACTCGAAGGAGGGCAACCTGCGTGCGAAGCTACCGGTGTAAGAGTTTGGCGCAGAATGCTGCCGCGGAGAGCCTGCGAAAAAGGCACCACCTCCACCACCACCATCACCACCGACGCCGCCGCCACTGCGGCTTGAAGAGCCTGATAGGAAGATCAATGGAGCAGAGGGCTGCGAGGCACGCGTCGGCTGTCGCTGATGCGAGTAAGGTGAAGGCGTAAATGGCGAATATGACGGCGGAGGCTGAGGTTGCTGCTGCTGCTGCTGCCGCTGGAGCATTTGCTGCATTGGTACCTGCAAGTAAATCAGACTCGAAGGTGATTGTAACCATCCTTAGCTCGTCATCGACCTCCGCCACACTGGTGACAGGACCTAACCCGGACGAATCAGCGGCTGAGACATAGGCCGATTGCGACTTCAGACGCAGCCTTGAATGCATTTTAGTGTAAAGTACACTTAGAGTAAAGTGGCCGTGAT